CTAGGGGTTAATAAAGTTTCTGTCTATAAAGTCATGTCCACTTGGCTGTTTGCTTTTGAAAACTGAGATACAGCCTTCTGCCACCTCTAGATTGCTGAAGCCTGCTCACTTCACAATACTTTTGGCTCACGATGCATGTTGAGATTTGGCTGATGCTGCCAACGACATAGCATTAAATATACAGTCTAAAAATACAGCTGATTGGTAGGTTTCCAATCACAGTACTCAGTGAATAATCAATGATGCTCCAAGAGTTTCTCAACAGCCCCAGTTCTGTCTTTCATTTTAATATGCATGACTTCCACAGCCTGAGATGTGTTCATGCCATATGGGGAATTTCTAAAGCATCAAGCCTGTGTCCCCCATTCCTCAATCTTCTGATTAATCAGTCATAGGCTTCAGAAACTCAAACGTGATGAGAATATGCATGAAATTCTCCCAGGACTACCTGAAAATAACCAAGGAATAGCAGGTACTCTCTCTTATAACCACTCATAACATATTGAAATGGGTTTGCATGGCTAAGAGTCTTAGATCTTGTCCAAGACTCTGAGTACTCTCCAATTCCTAATTTAAAATGTGACCTCATTTGCCTCTCGTGCGAAAGAGAGTTTCAGTACAGACTCATAAACACAAGCGCTAACCTCAGTGCTCCGTAGTTTGGCTATAGAGCCGCTACGGTGATGACAATATTTTACCGATTTCATTCTAAATTTTAAAGACACTGACCAGCTGGAGTTAATCTGTCAAGGGTGGCAAATCTGCTTCTAATTTTCCAGAGTATCTCTTAAGTTAATTTGGGGTATTGAGAAACTCCATAAAGATTTTAATTATAAACACTGTCTGAATGAAAAAAGTAAAATATAAAAATATAAGGTATAAAAAGGTGATGGTATTCAACACATTTGTCCTGTTTAGAGAAATATATATGTGTGTGTGTGTGTGTGAGCGGGTTTACCTATCCTTATGGGGACACAATGTCCCCATAACGTGATAAATATCAGTTTTTTTCCCTTATGGGGACCGGTTTCCTGGTCCCCATAAGGGAAAACTCTATTTTATAAAAATTGGTGACTGCTATGAAAAAACTAAAAATGCAAAAACTCTATTTTATTTTGTTTGGTTACTTATGGTTATGGTTAGGGCAGGGTAGGGGTTAAGGTTGTCATAGTTAGCGTTAGCATTTTTCCCATTGAAATGAATGAGCGGTCCCCATAAGGATATGTTTACCCTACATTGTGTGTGTGTGTGTGTGTGTGTGTGTGTGTAATCCTGTTCTGGCATATGTGTATTTTGACATAAAACCTGTCTGATGTAATGGAGCCCAGTCATAATTCTGTCGATAAAAACAGAGTAATCATGCTTGAAAATGGCAGAAAATTGTTTTCTGAATATATCAATATCCTTGGTGTTTCATTGTAGCTCAGTACAGCAGTCAGTAATTGTGATTAGAGTCCATCCATTTATCAATTTCCTTTTCTTGCTTCTCCTATGCAGGGTCACGGCTGTCCAGAGCCTATCCTGGAAGCTATGGCCGCAAATAGTTACAGCCCTCTGCAGCTATTCCTGCTCCAAATAGTATGGGAATGGTGGGATCAAAGCAAGTCTCCAAAGGTCTCTGATGCCTTCATGTGATCTCGCAGACCCCAGTCCAACTCAGATACCCTTAAGTTCACAGGACACTGGCATGATTAGCAGTATTGGTATCTTTGAGGTACCTATCAACGGAAAATGTAGAATAGAGGATGATGTTGGTGGTGGGCTCGTTTGGGGTTGAGTCAGATTGCAATAAGATCAGAAGCTGGAGGAGAAGAGGACGTGTGATAACAATATAAAGGCAGGAAAAAGTGGGGCCTCCCACTGAAATCCAGAATACTTAAAAATAGTTATATATGTTTTCCGTAATGTTAACGGTTGGCATTCATAATAGCAGCATTATCAATAGCCTTGATCACGCCTTTAGTACATGAATATGCCAGATGTCATAAATAAAGTAATTTATGCAGATTTCAATATTTTAAATATTTGTTACTTTTTCTGAATAGTTATATTTACATTTTTAACAGACATACACCAGATTTTTTCAAAAATATCAAAGAGGTGGATGGAATGCAAGTTAATGACGCATTATTTGTTCATCAAGCTTTGATAGCTCCTTGTGAGACTTAATGGGAAATTAGAAGACCCTACTGCCGTTTTCCTACTGAACTTTCATGTATTTGCATAATGCAGTGAATTAGTTTCTGTGCATGAGGTAGCAAACTTCAACAAAAGGTCTTAAATTCTGCACAAACCAATTTGAATTGTTTCCTATTCAAAATGTATGAAAGCAATGTCCCGTCTATAAAATTTGGGTAATATTACACATATTCTAACTGAAAATGACATTTTTCAAAGTAGGAAAAGGCTAGTAACCTTTCATCTTACATGTTGTTTTTCATAGCCATTTCTATTTATTTTAGTTTAAATGGATGTGATTATCATTGTAGAGATACACCGGATGTGGAATGTATGAAAATGAGTCCTGGCTTCCCATGAATAATCCAGGCGAAGGTTTCTGCTAGGCCTAGAGCCCATGACCAGGAAGCACAGGTCACAGCTGGGGGCACCCTGGATGGGATGCCAGTCCATCAGATTTTCCATACCTAAAATGCAAGTGTATGGTTACAGTGATAACGAGTGCACCACCATGACACCCATCCTGATATACTGTAGGGCTGGAATATTTTGGAAGTTCATCCACAGAATCCAGGGTAAATACTAGACTGATCATCAGCTGTACTGCTGTTCCTGTGTAGCTGATCACAGACATGGACTAACCTAATTGTTAATAACTGAGCTTAATACTTAACCTGAACAGTTTGGTTAAAACACCCAGCTCTGTAACAAAGTGCAACTAACAAGAAGTTACAGTGGAAGAAAGCCAAGCCAAAGAATAATTATTGATGGCTGAAGTGCGAAGCATCAAAATTACATTTAGCTCTTGAAGTAGCAGTGTTGTAGTGCACTGCCCAGCATCTCACTTGCCAACGTCTCCCAGGCATTACTGGCACGGCCAAGGCAACAATGCCAGCCAGGAAGTCTCAGTTATTCCACATTAATGAGGCCCACATCACTCCTGACCACATGAAAATGGGAGGCTTCAGGGCAGATGCACTCTGCAAGCTGATGTGCTATGGGCGGGTGCCAAGACAAGGGCGGGCAGGGGGGTGGTGATTCTCTCAGTGACATTTCAAGTCCCATAAAGTGAAGGCCCCAATTGCTGTGGGACTTTGAAGCCTGAGCATTCTGAGCATGACAAGGAATGGCTGAGGTTTTGTTAAATTTAGATTTCCTTACCTTTAATATCACTTGAAATGACTGTAATACTGAGGACTACGAAGTGAATAAATGGAAAATTAAATTCAGGACTTATGGTTCTTGGATTATTTCCCAGGAAACTAAGAGACCTGTTATTGTTCTCTGTCACAACTGTAGTCCTTCATGTGTCAGCCAACACTCCCGGTCAATTGGCAAGATTAAGTAAAGCCAGGAATCGTTCAGCATGTAATATCTACAGGCGCAGTGCTAGCAGGGAGTATGTGGCAGGCCAGTGGCTGCTCCTCACTGGATCAAAGTTCTAATTTAATTCCAGGCTGCCTGATGAGCCCCATTCCTCCACAGGCCTCTCCTGGAGGCTCGACACTATCCCTTAATCGGATGCCCTATCACCACCTGCAAAATCGATAAAACCCTGGTCACAGTCCTTTTTGTCATCAGCACGGGAGCTGCTGCTCTCGGTCTGTTTAGAATGAATCTTCCAAAAACAAAGTTTTGTTTTTCAAATGAAATTCATGTCCCTCATGTAAAAGATTATCTTCACATAATCTCTTTGATAGCAAAGGCCAATCTTGTCCTTCTGGGTTTTATACTCTGCATATACTTTGGATCATTTAACTGGCTACAGCCACAACGGGATCTAGCTAAGAATTAGCATAACATGAACATTCTCAAACTTACAGTCTGCTGTTTTTGTAAGGTTTACTGTATGTAAGGTGTACTGTATGGCCAGGACATGCAGCTGCTAATATAGTGTATTGCAGCATTACATTTCAATAATATGCACTCTCTGTAATTTCCTCCATTTTTACCTATGATGTACAGGTGTATTATCCTAATTGTTCAGCTGTCTCGAGCAATGGTTTCCTGCTTATTATTCTAATATGATTCTGTTTATCCATTTTTGTTGCTCCATGTCTTTCTGATGGTGGACACATTAGCATGACAAGTGGCCTACAGAAACAAGGATGTTGATCTAAGCTTATTTCCTACTTCCAAAACAACTTTATGTCTTGCTCCTGGGGATGTTTTACGGTAGGTTACGGCAAAGGTGATTTATGGCCAGCAATTAACTTCAATGGGATGTTTCAGTTTGAAGGAGGAAAAACCACGTAAACAGCAGGGAAGCTCCTCAGAGACTGAGGGGGTACTGACTTGAACCCGAAACTCTGGGCTCATAAGGAAATGTCACTGCACACCACTGTAACACATGTCGACAAGGTAGTAAAAGGCAGGCAGTCCCCAAGTTACGAACGACATCCGTTCCCTAAGCCTTCCCTTAATCTTTAAGTTCACTTTATAGGCAAGTCATAACAGTAATAATACACTAAATAACAAATAATAATAATAATAATAATAATTATTATTATTATATTATTAACAACAATAATAATGCCAGAGTAATAATAAACGTAACTACTGTACATACTATACTGTACTTTGAGCTAACAAACCAAGGAAGCCATGCAATGTTTTCACAAGCGTCATAAAGTGTGTGCGTTCATTAGTAAGGACCATCATACTTAACCCAAATTTTTTATATAATAGGTTTTATGGCAATTCGTTCAAGTATGGATCTGTAGCATCAGTGTACATTTACAGGTAAAAAAATATTAGTACTACGTTGGGTAAAAATAGATCAGAACTCCATTAGCTAGAACAGGAGCAGACTTTAAAACATCTCCAGTTGCTGTCACCTCCCTCATGGCGGCTGGGTGACTCCTTGTCAATTTATTATTCTTGCAAACATGTTCGTTAATAACCAACAACAGACAAGCTTCTAGATTCTGCAATCAGACTGGAGCTTAAAAATGGACAGAAACAGTTGTGCTACATTAACTGTCCTCTCTATGGTTCCCGGCTTAAGCTTAGCTAGGAGTGCAGACTTCACCAAGCTATATTTTAAAGGTTATTACCAATCTGAATTTTCATGTACGACCCCAAAATCCACCACTTATGAGACCTTGCTATGTAAATACATTAAATATAAGTAGACCATTCAAGCACACTAAAGAGAACAGTGAGTAATTGACTAAATTAAGAATATGCACAAAATATTCAACAGACATTAGCTATAATACAAGCTCAGCTTGTCCTTGAGAAAAGGTGTGCATCATCGTCTTTAAAACCACAAATGAATACTAAGCAGACAAAATAAATGTGCATTTTTATGGGTAAATAGTGCCACCATGTGGAATGTAGGGCTTACAGTAGTTTCTACCGTTTCTGGAGAAAGACTGAATAACTAGGCAAAGAATATGATTTCAACATCTCTGTGAAGAATCTCACAAAAACACTGACAGCAAAAATGTAACAATTGTCAAAAGCAGCCATATTTTAATTCTGAACTAGCGTACTTCTTATTCTTGTTTAATTTGTACTGTGATCCTTTTTTCTGTTGAAGCAGATTTGCTTACCATTAACAGCCTGCTGACACCAAGAACCCGTCTTGTACCGTCTAGGCATGTCTGAGCTAACAGTTTTGAAAATGCATTCTCATTTTGGGGAATCATCCCATCCCCAGCATCCCCAGCTTTGTGTCACCGCGGTTCCATTGGGTTCCTTAGGAGGCCAGTGTAGCAGTGACGCCGGGTTTCTCAAGAGCACCGTGGCTGTTGGGTTCCTGGAGCCCTGCGCCACACTGACCCTGGGATCCTCAGAAGCCCTGTGCTGTGGTGACACTGGGTTCCTTAGGAGCCCTCCACTGGGATGATGTTTGGTTCCTCAGAAGCCCCATAGCACAGTGATGCTGGGTTCGTGAAGATCCCCGTGCCAGTTGGGTTCCTCAGGAGCCTCGTGTCATGGTGACATTGGGCTCCGAGCAAGAGCAGAACGGGAAGGTTCCACAACAGGGCTGCAGCCAGGGCCTCCACAGCACGTTGCGCCAGGTCAGCTGGTTGGGGACCGGACTGAGTGTTCGGCCGTGTTCCTCTACCGCCAACCGGACCCTCTCCAGCACCTCTGCGTAGCGGGGCTCCAGGTCCGGCGTCAGGGGCCTGCTCTCAGATGGGTCCTGGGCCAAGTCGAACAGCAGTGGGGGGGTGTGCTGGGTGACAAAGCCCTCGTGACATAAGCAGAGCTTGGTGTCGTAGCAGCCTCCAGCCCCCGAGGGCCAAAAGTTGGGCGTGAAGAAGTGAACTTTGAAAACCGCATCACCTGAGAGAAACATGGCAGGGGTGAGGATCCTCCACACTGCTGTGGCATCACAGCCGCCAAGCGGGGAGGCAGACAGGACATGTGGTGTTTAAGGGGGTCAGACACATGAAAGCAGCTCAGTAATCACACTGACTGTAGAAATATATCAACAATAGCAGTCTGGGCATTTAATATCTGCAGCACATCGACTGAACCACATGGTTTTCATTAGAGTGAAGGGCGAGTAGGGCTCACTGTCTGGGGGGTGCCAGCGCACGGCGTTCAGATATACGCCGCAGTAGTGGAACATGAACTCGTGCTTGGATCTCCGGGCTTGCCCTTCCATCAGGGGCATCAGGTCGTGGCCGTCCAGGACTCTGAAAGCAGGGAATACCGTAAAAATGGCTTACACACAAGGAAAATAAAAATAATACAAGATCCATCCATCCGTCTTCTATACCCACTTGTCCTACACAGGGCTATGGGGGTACAGAGCCTATCCCAGAAGCTACGGGCACCAGGCAGTGAATAACCCAAGAAGGAGTGCAAACTCATAACAAGACGGTTAATGTTTAATCCATTGCAGCACTGGTAAAAATTCTGAGATCAAAAGACACGGCCTACAGTTTACTGCCATCAGGAAAGAAACCAAATGGAGGGGTGAGTGCAAGGTGGCATCAGCGATGTGTGACCTAAGACCTAATGCAGCTGAGAGTTGGAAGTGGTCACACTGCTGGTGATGCGCCGGATTCTCAGAGCCAAAGCAATGCAGCTGCTCATGGAATAGGGGAGGCTGGTCCACTGGAAGCAATTCCCCCTCCACCCCCTCTCACCTGTCTCTTGGTAGCTCCCCCCCTGCCAGGCCGACCACAGTAGGAAAGACGTCCATGAGGCTGGTAGGCTCATCGATCACCCCTCCGGCAGGCAACCGGCCCGGCCAGCGGAAGAGGCCCGGCACGCGGATCCCGCCTTCCCAGCCGCCCATAGCTTTGCCTCCTGCCGGGACAGACAGGAAACCAGTGCCATCTGAACAACAAGTGGCCACAGCTCGGCTCTGTTACCGTTCCAGACAGACTGCCTTTTAAATAACTCCTGTCAGACAGTCATGTATCCCTGAGATTCAAGCTATTTTTCCCTTTTCACAAAGCAGCCGGATGCCATCTGGCCCTCTGCCCAGCCTGTGTTACGTGTAGCTTTGCCACTGCAAGCTAGCAGAAGCTCTCTCTGAAAGAGCCATTTATGAACATTCGTAAAATAAATAGAACAGACTAAGACGGCAGCACCGAGTGGCTGGCAGGCTAATTAGTACAAGAGGTGCAGGAAACTAGGAGAGGCTGAGGCCCCCTTTTTAAAATATCCTGGAGCCGGAGGTGAGACACAGCGTGCTTTGTGGGTCATTCGCCCCACGGGGCGGCCCGGCTCGAGGGCAAAGCGCAGCCTTCATTACGCGCACCCGCCCTCCAAGCCACTCAGCCGAGGCTTCTCTGAGGTCCGTTTCATGCTTCATGTTTGTCATTTGGAGACAAACTGGGAAATATTTCAGGCAGCTGCTGACTGAGAGCCAGTCCATGGTCAGTCATTAAGTAGGTCAGCCTCAGCAGAACCTAAGTAGCTGGAACAGCCTTGGAGACCAAGGCCTGACGGCTACCGCAATGCTTTGCTGGTCATCTGCGTTTCCATAACAGACAACACATCTCATCAAAGAACCTGAGCTTCCAAAAGGGAGACAGTGTTCCAGAAATTGGTCAGATTTTTGCAAAAAAAAATGCCCTCCTTTCCCCAATACAACGGATCAGTGAGAATAATGACTTCCTTTGCTGGACAGTTGAACAACATTCCACATTTTGCTTAAACCTGCTTTTGTTTACCTTTGTAAATGCCATTCCAGCCTCCACTTTGGCCACGGCGATCTGAGACCTCTATATGTCCTCCATGGTCAGAGGTGAAATATATTAGCGTCTTCCTGGAGAGGTTAAGTTTCTCAACAGTTTCCACAATTCTACCTGGACAGGGAGCAAGGGCACACAAAGGAGATACTGAGCATGTGACAAGGAAGGAGTCCTACATCATAAGGCTAATTGAGGCACCACCAAATCCAGCCACCACCTTCTGTTGGCACATCCACTGATATCAACCTAGGAAGAGGGGGCAGGACAGGAAAATCACAAATCAAGTACAATTTGGATTCTGAGCTTGTAGCCAGTGCTCCTGTCAGTATATATGTAAGGAAAATCAGGGGAAAGCTTGGGGGCAGAATTGCTTATGAGGAAACATTGAGTTGTCAAAGGCAAAGATTACCTATCATCCAATCGGCTTCTTCCACATTGTCACCATAAAGTCCATGTTTGCTCTTCCCCACAAAGCTTTCGGACATAAACAGTGGCGTGTGAACGTGCACCAGAGACAGGAACAGAAGAAAGGGGTTCTGCTGGTTTCTGTGAGGAGAAATAAGTACAAAACCAAGTGACATTTGCTGCATAGAAGAAACAATGTTTGTTTCAACAGAATATGGATACAAAACTTGCAGGTCTGTGAATTGGTAAGAATCTGGCAATACTATATGAATCATAATACAAGGGCTGCAATTCAATATATTGTGATATATTGCATTTTCTGAAATCTAATTTTAGGAAAACTGATAGTATAAAGAACAGACCACCATATCCATAAAATCTGAGTTTAAAAAGTTTACTTTTTCATGCAACCAGAACAGTGGGATCTGCAGCGGCGTGGTTCTTGTCGTTTTCTTAGTGCCTTCTTTATTGCGGAAGGCAAAATGAGCCCAAACTTCAGCTCAGTACAGTATGTCACGGGAGCCAGCATAATGCTTGTGGATTCAGCCATTGGTGGTAATATCACTAGCCAGCTAGTTTGCTAATTCTCACATTAGCAGCGCACTGTTACATTGCGTCCTGTCTCAGTTTACGTTGTTGTCTTTTTTTGCCATTTGACTGTTCCACTCCAGCATAACAACACTGCTAAATAGCGTTTGAGGGTTTAAACAAAACACAAAATGAACCAGTGTTGGCCACTAATCTTTGCATGTAAACCATTAATTAAAAATCAATATCGTGTTTTTGAGAATCAATACACTATCACAAAACATATTGCAATACTCGAGTGTACTGATATGTTCTTACACCCCTAAAAACTTGGTAGTTTTATTTATGGCAAAAATACAGACGACATTCATAACTGATTCTTAATGGTAAAACATAGAGTTAGGGCAGCGGCACCTGGTGTGATACCTTTCCAGAAACTGCTCAGCCTCATTCACAATGCGGTGTGTCAGAGTGTCTAGGATGATTGGCTGCTCAACCACCAGCTCGTTCCTCATGATGATGCAGTTCCAGGTCTGCAGATGTTTAAAGGGCACGTACCAGACCGCCAGTGCCAGGAAGCAGATGAGCATGAGCATGACGACCAGCTTCTGGTTGACCTCCAGGAGGCCAAGGAGCCACACTCCTTCCAGAGTGAGGATGGCCAGACCCAGCAACATTGATACATTCCACAGCACCACCTGCAGGTCGGCCAACAGAACTGTGCCCTCACCCGGTTTGCAGTCATTAAAATTTGTAAAGGGAAGGCCGTAGTAGTAGTCAAATCCATGGTTGTTAGGGTGGTGGCAGTGGTCATTCCTGCTCTCACAGTTCACACCAAGGTGCCATTTTCCTGAAATGGTCCACAGCACATCGACAGCAGATTACTCATTACTGACTGTGCACAGAAAGGCTTAGTAATTAACAAATTTGAGGGTTAAAGTTACTGTGATAAGATATGGATGTCTGTAGCCCTTGCTGGATAAGCAGCATTGTGATCAGAAGGTGGCCGGTTCAAATTCCAAGGCACCACTGGACCCATGAGCAAGACCCTTAACCCCAACTGGTCCAGGTACACTGCCTGGAACTGCGCTCTGATGCTCACCTGTACTTTGTTGTGGACACAAGCAGATCTGCTAAATACATATGTGTAAATATTCATGCACAGCATACCTACAATCCCTGTAGTGTAACCCTGTTTCTGTAGGATCTTGGCGAACGTGGTCTCGTTGGAAGGAAGACCCCCTGCTCCACCCAGGAACATAATGACCTGCACACGTCCAGTACTGCCCAGGCCTGGAGAAGAGCACACAGGGTTCTCACAGGACAGACACCGGCATGGGAGCCAATGTACTGTTTTCTGAACCCTAACCCCACAGGATTGCATTGGGTTTCACCAAGGCCGTAATTATATATTTGGGGACACATGTCCCCCTCAATATTCAGATGTGCTGATGTTTCCCCCCCCCAAAATATATTATAATTACGGTCTTCGTCCCCCCAACGCTGTCTCCATGGCTAAGGCCTTGGGTTTCACAAAGGGGTAACACAGGGGGTACATACCTGACCGCAGAGCGTATCGTCCTGTCAGGAAGGCTGTTCTGCTGGGGGTGCAGAGGGGAGCGGCAGCAATGTGCTGAGTCAGCTTCACCCCCTCCTGAGCCAGCCGGTCAATGTTAGGGGTCCTGAAAGCAGGCACACAGAATCAGGCACACCAGTACACAGAACACACAAAGATCCACTCATGATCATGATGACAGCTGGGCCCAGGTACCTGATGGTGTCATTCCCATAGCATCCAACGTCCCCTATGCCCAAATCATCAACCATTATAAGGACAAAGTTAGGCTTGTCATCATCTTTGGCTCCACTGGTCCACCTTATTGCGAAGAGTACAAGCACCAACACACAACACCTGGAAATACACACAAAATGGGGGAAGTCAGCCCATCGAAAGACAAAAGGGGCCAGTGACCATCCATAATTCTTGTGGCTTTAATGTTCTTCCTTGGCTTTAAGGTGCTAATGTACCTATGCTTAGGCTGCAGAAATACTGTCCAACAAAGGCAAAGCACCATCACTGCATAATTTACCAAAACGAAGTTATGCTCAAAACCAGGTCTTTTAAGTTTTGTTTTATCTCATGACAAAATATCTATATTATAAGATATAGTTCGAAATCAAGGTAAAACTGTTTGGGACCTTGGGCCCTGTTTCTCAGTTTCAGTGTCAGCGTAGTTTGCCTTTGTAGGGCAGCAGAGACTAACGCACTTTGATTACAACATGCTTACTTCACAGTTAATGTAATAAAGTCTTGGTGTAGTCACTAAGACCAGAGACTGAGGTTATGTAATCAGAGGTATGTGTTATTTATGGGCAGGTTACTGACCCTCTTATATGAGTTCTGTGAAAAGCACTTCATCCTAACACTGCACTGTGAAGTTTTCGCCATGATCAGTTTCTCCTAATGACACTTTAACTGTGTCTTTGCCTATATATGGCTTATATGTGACATTTTATCATAAGAATAAAACTAACCGATACTTTTGGTTCTGCAAACACTCCATAACACCAGTCCCTTAAGTAACCTTCTGGGAAAAAAAGCAAAACATCAGAATTTGCGAATCAAATTAGTATTAAAAGATACTGAAAAATGAACCACTTATAAGATGTTAGACCATAACATAATTATACTACTGAAAACAGCAAAATATGTCCATGTATTGTCATGCACCCTAGATGTACAGTACAAGACTTGAGCAGTAAAAGTTTCAGCTGGTGGGGTACCCACCGGTATGCAGTACCGGCAACTCTTTGTTTTTCTCTTCAGAGTACCGGCCTCTCAATATCTGCTGGCACTAAATAACAAGCAGAGCCTTGTCTTTCCCCATTTCAAGCATTGGGGAAATGAGTATACAATTTTAAAAACTGTTAGGACAAAAATACACAAATACATAAAACAAAAATAAAATAAAAACGGGGGGGGGGGGAGAGAGAGAGAAAACGTTATTATCGGATGATAAACCTCACTGCATGGTTGCTGTAAAAAGTTTGCAGATCAGGGATGAAAGTACATGTGTTAATATCTTGATAGACTAGTAAGTACGATTTACAACGAATATTTGCTTTACTTACAAATATTATGCACGATTTAATCTTTTCACTGTATGATTATTCGTGTCTGTTGATATTATTATGCAAATAAATATACCTTCACTTGAATTAAGCAAATTAGATATATATCAAAATACATTTCCAAATCCTGTTACTAGACCACGTAGACCGGTTCTTTAACGAGAAAATAATGCAGATAATTACAAGTTACATAAACCTTGAGTAGGGTTAGGCTATCACAGCACGTATGTTCCGGAGTTTATATGTACAGTTTTAAATTCTATAATGAAACAACGGCAAAAGCTCTCAGTTAATCTAACTTGTTTTTTTAATGTATTCATTAGTTAGTTAGTTTAGTTTTGCAAAGCATATTGCACGTACACTTATAAATAAGTTTATCTACATCTCATATTTATAAAGACATATACATTTAGTGGCTGTCAACGTAAAAAAGGCTGACGTCAGAAAAAGTAACTTATGTTCAGAAGCGAAATATCCATAATATGTGATATAAAATAGGTTATTCATTTTTTACAGGTAAAGCACTTACCTCTCCAGCAACATCGCAGGAAGAAGTCACTATGAGAGTGTGAACAGCTTTTATATGACGTTTAGCTCAGTACCGTAATCCTACCAATATGAGCGCATACTGTATGTAGTGTAATACTACAATAAAAGACAGCAGGTGAGTTTTTTTTTTTTGACCGATACAGACCTAAGCTTTATCTATCTATTTTCTACATTCGCTTGTCCTTATTCAAGTACGAAACTATGTTTACCCTACGATGTCGTCGGTATTCCTAAAGTTTAGGGTATTACAAGCAATCCCTTAAGGACCATGAACGTGTACTCTTTAATAACTAGTATAAGGCCGCAGGCCTTGCAGGGCACATCGGTCTGAGCTCTGGCAAGCCTTTAATATTCCATCCAGTGTCCTAAAGCAAAGGTCCACTGGCTGGACCCAAATCACCCGATCACCACATCAAAAGGGACACCTCACCCCCACTGGGCGGCCAGAACTCTGCAGCCAAATTCCAGTGACAAGACCTGGCTGTGTCAAGACAAAGATACATCCTGCACTCGCTAATTCACACCAACACAGGAGGTATTACCACAAACTAACATTAGGGACACATACACCCATGTTTGGTCTCGTTTGAATGGTCACAGTACGACGGGCACAATACTCTCAACCTTAAAGCAGTATGTTTTCCCATAAGAGAAATATAGAATGTAAGACTAAACCCACCAAAGTGGAGGATCTTATCACCTGGTAGAACAAAGGAATTGTCACATTCCTCCTAAAGCAATTCGATTGGCTGAGGGCCTGAGCATTGATAAGATCAGCAGTTCTCCAGGACACACACACAAGATCAAAGCAGGCCCTAAAATAATCAATCACAATATTTGGTGCAGTCTGTCACTTGGTTTGAAATACTTAAGAAAGAGCACCGGAGTAGCAAGGGGAGACACTCTGTAATCAGAGCTCCCACATAGCGCTGTATGGATCTACATCTGTAATCAGATATTTTCTGCAGTTACTATGTGTCCACTCAGCTGAGGTATGGAATTGTTCTATACTTTTGATTGGATTATATAGTTTAGGACTTGTAGCCACATGTTAAAATTACCTTAATGTTACATTTAGTTAAATTCATGTGATATATATTAATTGTGAATAAACTGTGTTTTTGATTACTTCTTGGCTGTCTGACTTTGTTAACCTCTGCATGTTTCTCAGAGACTGGGGTTATTCTAACACTCTCTTGCAGCCTCTGACTCGACCGCATTTCTCCGAGACTTGTTGCGACTGCCCAAGTTGAGTTACGGTGAATACCGGCCCAGCCTCTGAGGCGCGCACACGCTGGGTTACGGCAAAGTCCGGCCCAGCCTCTGAGGCGCGCACACGCTGGGTTACGGCAAAGGCCGGCCCAGCCTCTGAGGCGCGCACACGCTGGGTTACGGCAAAGGCCGGCCCAGCCTCTGAGGCGCGCACACGCTGGGTTACGGCAAACACCGGCTTAACCTCTGTGGCCAACACTAGCTCAGAATCGGCAAGTGTCAGCTGAGCCTCTGAGGTGTTATGGGTCGCCAGGTCCTGACAGGTATCTAGGCTGGCACTGTATTACATTGTAGTGATTACCCAACTTCTAAACCGTGTCCTACATAGCAGATCCGCGGATTGCCCTATTGGCTGAATCTGGTGTACCCCACCGTCCGGGATTAGTGGGAGTTCAGCAATAGAAGGCACAGCCCAGGAGTAATCTAAATAACAGAAATGTCACGACTAAAATTGCCATGAACATCTTTAATTAAATTGGAGTTAGATATAATTCGGTTTTACCTAAAAGGGTAAAACCGAACCCACACGCATTCCAAACCTTCGGCTGTTCAACTGGATTCTGCCATTGGGCCAGTGGATGGTTCCCCTACACTAGATATAATTATATAGAATAACCCATGTGCAGGTGCTCTACTGCTTTTAGCGTCAGCATTAAAGGGTAAGAATTTACATCCCCTAAGCTTGTTCCAGAGGAGTTCTTTGTTGGTAACCAGTGCCCTCTTCTAAGTAGACATGCTGCAAACAAGTCTATCAGGATCATTGTTCAAAGACACTTTGTATGTAAACCAGTCTCAGTTGTTTTCTGGAACAATCTATTTAGCAATATTGATTGGGAAACTACATGGCTTTTAACAATAAAAGCTTTCATTACAAATAAGATACCTGAGGTGACATCAAAGATTCTCCATCGTTGTTACCCTGTTAATTGTAATATTATCGAATGTAAGAAAGATATCAATATTTTACGGGGGTTTTTTTTTTGGATCAAACTGTGAAGAAACATTATCTCATTCATTATGGGAATACAAATACTCTTGCTTGTTTTGGGTAAACCTCCAACGTCATAAATAGAACTGTAGACTAATTTCAAATTGAAAACTGAAGATATATTTTCGGAATCCCCAAAAAACAGTAGCCTGACCCCAAAGCAAAGTTACGTTGTCAATCTGCTTATTGTTTTTTTTCAAAATTCCATATACATACCTGTAAATTTACTACATAAAAACAAAACTTTACAGCTTTTAAGGCCTACTTTGTGTCATATATAAATATGTTGGTATCTTGTAACAACATTCAGAAGCCATAAAAACCTTGTGTGAGTTTGACCTGGTGGAAAGCTCCTTTTTTTCCTCCTGTTCCTTCCTCAAGCATGTTCCGTTTTCTTGTTGATACTGAATGTTTGTGGCATTTCCTTGTACTTACTTATATTGCACATGCTTTGTCACTCATGTACATATTTAAAATAGAAAAAAAAAACATGTTCAACCTGTTAATGTTATGCAAATATTTGGAGTAAAAGTGCTGTATTTGGAATCCACTGTACTGCATTTTCTCTGAACATAATATTCCCTGCAATTCTGGGCCATCTTACAGGTAGACCTATTGATTTAAAAATAAAATTAAAGTACATGTGATGTTTATGAAACGGATCTTGAAAATGCAGAAATGACATATAATAATGTGTACAACCAAAACATTTTACAGTCAGGGAGCATAGCTAGAAATTCTGGGCCCCTGACAAAATATCACATTGCGTCAACCTCAGTAGATTTGGGGTGGGGGGGGAACTCAGGGTAGACTTTGGGGCCCCATTACAGTGCTGGGGAACCTGGATCTGCCAGGGTACCCATACGCCACCCCCCACCATTGGAAGATTGAAGCCTGTGTTCTGTGAAGTGTGTAATCACACCCCGACAAGCATGGTGAAGCAGATTTTACTCACTGATTCATAATAAAGCGTGGTGGGACAGAAATTGCAAGTGACCTTTTCAATTTTCTAACATAGTTTGCAAACTAAACAAGGAAATGTGATTGCAAATTCTGCTTGGTATTTTATTCATAATTTGTTGTGGGACAAAACTCATGATTGCAATGTAAAGATATGCTTATACTTGCATCTTGCCTGGAAGATCACATTTCCACCCATGCGGTACATGATTACCTGGATATTTTTTCTAACATACACAGATTGAGTTCCTGCTTGTTGGCATTTCCAAACATGCACAGAATCCCTGTGCGCGCGTACACACACACACACATACACAAATGCACATTTTATCATTCATCAGAATATTATTCTTCATGTTGGCCCATTTAAATACTCCTACCAGACGGCTACAAACATCGATTTAGTAATGGTCTCCCACCCTTCCCCTCCTCGGAGTTTGTCTCGGTCCCTTATGAGGCCTACACAGAAGAACCATTACATCAGTGTTTGTCCAAGAAAGGAAAGCTTCTCGTCATGGTTCTCCAACTCCACAATCTTCTGGGAGGATAAGCAACAGTTAAACTTTAAATTTGAGAAAGCCCTGCAATAAACACACTGCTGGATGCCAGAAGATTTTCTCTGTCCTATTTTGGCAGCCCATCCCACTCTGAAATGCCACCAGCCCACAGCTGGTGACGTGGACCTATTTCTGCCATGACAGGAGAGCAGGCTGGCTGCCTATAAGCAGTAGCCTGGCCACTCTGCTCCGCAGCCCTCCATTCCGCTGCATCACTGTGGCTTGCTGAGCCCACTTATACTATTGATGAATGATGGATGCTTAGGGGCTCCACTTTTTATTTGTCTTTCACACAAGGCAAAATCAGCACACATAAGCCCTATAATCTCAGTGTATCACAGCAGCGATGGTGCAAAGCTCACTGAACTCAAGCATTTATTTTATTTTTAAAACCACCAAATTTGTTGTAAATGAACTAGGCCCTGGAATATGTATACATGTATTATGCTATTTATTTACTAATGTGATTGTTTTGGGATAGTTTTTGGGGTCAGTCTAGTGAAGTGTTAGTGTGCATGAATTATGAAGTATTTACAAAACTCACTGTACAATAACAAACCCATTTGGACAAATCTCTTCCAGAAGGTGGCAGTAAACAACTGTTTTCTTTCATTTCTCTTAACATATTTCCCACAGACCACAATAAATTACAGTAGACCAAAATATAGTCGGCTTATAAGCACTCTCAATCACTGACACCATTCTCAAAAAATATTTTACAGGTGGTTTCGTCTAACATTGTAACCACTGTCTGATATGTATGGATAAAATCAATGCAACTGTAATTGTTTTCCTCTGAAAACGTAAACCACAGTATTTAAGCAAGAACTGTGTTTCCTGTCACATCTGTACTTCTTGATTCAAAGAAAACCAAATAATTCTTAAATGTTTAGTTACAAGTGCACACAAATGGCAGTTGTCTTTAAACAAGTGCATATATAAAATGAAAATAACTATCCTATTTGACAAATCACCAAGCTGAAGTTTTATCAGTATATTTGTTTTATCAGTGGAAAAAAGTGTATATATATATATATATATATATATATATATATATATATATATATATATACACACACACACATATATATGTATATGTGTGTGTTTATATATATATAAACACTGACATATCTCAAGAAGAGATCTCACATCAACTGGGAACTAACATAGAGTGTAGGTGACTGATCCTAGGTCATTAAAGGTAGTCACTCTCTGTTTAGCACGGTCACCTCTACATACTACTTCTAAACTGAAAACATACTGGGATA